TTTTTTTTTTTTTCTCTCTTCTCTGATGTATTCCTCTTGTTGAGTTTGCGCCTCTCGTCATGCGGGTATCTTCCCCAGTCTGAGTGACTGAAGAAAAAGGGGGAGAAAAAACAAAGAAACAAGCAAAATATATATGAACTCTATACGAACTCTACCTTTCGTGAGTTGGATGAAGGAAAAGAGTATAAATTCACACGTACAAGCAAAGATATATAATGAAAGAAATGCTCAGTTGTATATATTTTCCTCTTTACCTATACACCCTACTTTCCTTGTACACTCCTGTCTCTTGATCATCCTTCTTCCCCTTTAATATATATATAAATTACTTCACTGCTGGTGTTCATGATGGGTTTCTTCAAATAATAAGCACGAGAAGCAATAATAATAGTAATAATAATAACGCAAGGAGGAGGAGGAAGGAGTAGAGGAATGATAAGAGTAAGGGCAGTTAATAATACCGTATACCATGATCTGGATACCAGGTACCATCATTCATAAGAATGGTATTATCATTATTATCAGTATAGTTGGTATCTTCCATGCAGTATCGCTGGCGAATAAACTCCAAGGCCGCAGCGTGTGCATCTGAGCGTTGGCGCCAATATCTACGCTGCGGTATCGTCTTTTCCCAACATCCGTAGACTTTTGTATCCTCAAGCATCATTTGAAGTCTCCTTTCCTTTGCCTCATCCTCATCATCTTTAGGGGCGGTAGGCATAGTCTCCGTCGTTATGGAGGGAATGGGAGGAAGAATGGGAGTGTTGGTTATATTCGCAATAATAGTAGTAGTAGAAGGAGTATTGGTTATATTCGTACAAGTACTTGTTGCTGTTGGAGTATTGATATTGGTATGAGTAGGTGTTCCTTCTTCTTGTTGATTCTTGCCCATACATGGTAGAGTAGATGCGGTGGGAAGTGATGCGATCTTCAACGTGGAAGACATGACGTGGGACTCCATCGCATGATTACCAGAACTGCACTGACCATTTTTATTATTCCTGTTTCTGCAGCAATCATATATATGATGAATAATAATAGTATTATTACCAGTGTTATTGTCATTATTATTATTATTATAAATATTATAAATATGACTAACACCATTGTGATTACACTTACAACTGCAATTCTTATCATTATCATCATTATTATCATTATGATTTTTTTTCGTACTGCCTGTTTTCCCTGCGGTGGGGGTAGGTGGACACACTGCTCTTCTTCTTCTTCTTGTTGTTGTTGTTCGTCTCTCTCTCCAACTGCCGTGTGTACGAGCGGCCTCTCTCCCACGCCGTAGTGAATGAGAGAGAGAGGTCTTTTCCCCTCCCTTATACTCTTCTCCTCCTCCTCCTCCTCCTTTTGTTGTTTTTCTCGTTAACAATTGTTGCGTTGTTTGGGTGCTCTTCTCACGCCTGCCATCTTTACTTCTGTCGGTGTTTGATGTGGGGGGCGGTGCTGCAAATATTAACGGTGTTGTTGTTGTTTTTGTTATTATTGTTGTGGTGTCGGCAGTACTCGCCGCACACGCACTCATAGAGGCACTCATAAGGGTGTCTTCTTTTCTTTTTCATCATGAGTGTAAATGTAAAGAAAGAAAAAAGAAAAAAAAAAAAGAGTGGGTTGGTGAAGAGCAGAGACACAATCTCTGAATAGAACAAACACAGTATATTTATATATATTATCTATATATTATCTATATATTATATATCATATATATTATATATTATGTAGAGAGAGGGAGAGAAATTGAAAAAAAAAAAAAAAGAACAATATGGGAAAAGAAACAACATAACAGAGGTATTGAAATGAATAAAAACAGCCCGTGAATATGAGGGATTGTAAAACAATCCTTCTACCTATCAATACGAAAGAAAATCAAAGCAATAATAATAAAAAAAATAATGAAAATATATCATAAATCAATAAATTTGTTGAACTCCATTTTTTGCCGTTTACCCCTCTATATTTCATGATTTATGGTTGTTGTTGTTGTTTTTTATTATTATTATCTCCAATGTCCCCCCTCTTCTCATTTCACCCATCGAGAATCGAATGTGTGTTTCCCTCATCTTCTCTCTCATTCTCTCTCTTACTCTGCTTCTCTTAAAAGGGAAAGGAGAGACCACACATGATATCACCCCTTTACCACCACTCCAACAGCCTTCAGCCTTTCCTTTTATTTCTTTTTTTTTTTTTTACGTGAGAAGTCAAAGTAGAAGAGAGAAATTTGAGTG